TTCTTTTTCCCTTTATTTACTGCTGTTGCTTTTGATAGTAGAAATTTTCATTATACAGATTGATAACAGAATTTAAAGTTTCATTCTTTAGCAAAAATATTTAAAACGTACAAGCAGTTGGTGCATGTTGTATATAATTCTTGTTTATCTGAATAGGTGATTAATGTTTCATAGTAATTTTCATCATACTTGTACTATGTCCAAGGCTACAGTTTCATTTAATGAAGTTTCATACTTTGATCTTGCATATGCTATTGAACAATGCGTGGAATTTATTAAGAAAATTATTTATAGGCATAGTCATTAAATTCTATTGCTAATACAAGCTTTGGCAAACTTGTCATAACAATTAAGAGTGCACCCTGCTTTAGTGATTCAGTTTTTTACCATTCACAGATCTCCGACCACCATTGTCATGACAAGGTAAGCTGCTTGGTTGAGTAGAATATTATGAACATAATAAGCAATCTCCAAATTGAATGAAAATCTCAAGGTATTGATTTTGAAGGTAAGCTGATTTTTTTTATTGGCTTTTCATTGGATTTTGCATGGTTACTTTTAGAAAACGTGATGCTATTTTGTTGTAAGAAAATAATATTATTTGGTATATAAAAAGCAAAGAGAGCTACACACATAGGTTAATGCGATCGACACCTACCTTGAATGCCATTTCTTTGTTTTAAATTCTTAACTGCTTTGATTTATGGTAAGCTTTACAAATATGACCATTCATTCATCTTAATTATTAAATTTTATTTAAATTATTATTCTACTGATTCCTCCTTTTTTATCCCACATGCACAAATACTCATCAAACGAAGTGACAACAATACTTGCCAACTTAGATTCCAAATAGCAGTCTTGATGAGTAATTGGTATTCATTTTATGAACTCCTTTTAAAATAATACATATAATTTGACAAAAGCCATTGTAGAAGGATGATGGACTAAAGTCCTTTCAAATCCTAAAAAATTTTCTTTCATTTCACATTTTTCAGCTTATTCTGTTAGCATGTTGTAAAACCATTCTCTGTCATAACAATTAGGCTGTTGAATGTGTGTGTGTGTGTGTGTGCGCGCGCGCGCGTGTGGGAGCTAAGATCTCTTTCGCTTACTTAGTGCTCCTTTCTTTGGCTTCACGACTTGTTGACCACATTATTGAATTGTTTACTTATTAATGTATTTTCATGTTTTTCTCATTTTGGCATACACAAGTGAGATATCTTAACTTCAGGTCTCATTATTTGTTGCATAGTGACTACTAAACTTATTGGTTTGGCAGAGCAGTTATATTTTCTCAAGATTATTCTGGCTTCATCATGAACTGAATCCTAATTCCCTTGATAAATAAAATCAAAGTAATAATTCAAAATGATTTACGTACAACACATCTATTGGTTTTAACAAGAATACCTTTGACTCTGACCCATTTAGAAACAGTTTTAGAACATCTCCCATTAGTGTAAAGATCTTTTTGGTTCTTGAAGCCTCTCAAACTGTATCCACCTGAGAGTATATCATCATAATGCAATTGGACAGTCCATAATTATAATATAATATTTCCTTGAAGTGATCAGAAAGTGGTTGGGTTGCTTCTAAAAGAGAGGTAAACACATAGTAGAAGGGGAACCAAGAATTTTAATCTTTGCTTTACCAAGATCATAAAGCATTAGAAATGCATATAATATTTTGTAAAGCAGGTCGAATAAAAGTGCCTCTAATGAAATTTTAGTCCCCTAGAATCTAAGTAATTGGGGTATAAAAAAGCATCTTCAAATGAGAGGAATCCATGTTAATTGGGGCAAAGCAACACAAAAAGTATATAAATTCAACAAAAAAGAAAAACAAAATATTCTGTGAAACTTTTTTCCCCAGAAAGTATATTCCGTAAAACTTTTTCTTTTTTCGAAAAGTATATTCTATGAAACTTTCATGAGGAAGCAGCATAATATTTCGAATCTAACACGTGTTTTACACGAACAAGATCACTAAATATGGGTTTAGGACCTATAAATGGACCAAGGAGTATTTTCCATTCTAATATCTGTATTTTGATTATTTTAGATCACAGGGTGGCTCATAGCATCCCAATTTAGTGACAAATGCTTGTTCGCCAGGTAATGTTTTATGGTTTCGGGTTAGGAAAATAGTCTCAAAAAACTACTTATCACTTACTTCTTCAGACTCGGTCATAAACAGAAACCTTGTACCATAAGAATGACCTCTTTTCTATTTACAATCTTAGAACTGCAGCCTATCATCGATGCTAATTCTAAGTCCTTACCTGAAAGAGTGACAAACACATTTTCTCCATTGTACATGAACATGCTTTTTTTTTTCTAATCACCATTTGTATACAGGATTTAGCTTCAATAGCATTATACTGCAGCATTATACTGCAGATAACAAAATTTTATTTTCGGTTCACTAGTGAAAATCAACAAAAAAAAAAATTAAATAAATAAATAAACAGGGTTCAGCTCTCTCAGCACAGTTCCTGAAAAATTTCCATCCTAAAATAAGAAGGAGCCACTTTCATGCATTGTCATGTTTATTATGACGATTTTCCGAACACCAAATAGAACTACTATTAAATATATGAGAGTATCTAAAGAGATCTATCAATAGCTATAAAGTTCGAATAAGGATGAGAGATAATAATAAGCATTAATGAAATATTTATTGTTATCTTATATATTTGTCACGCACTCACTGGGAAATAACATATTGATATAAGTCCATTTGACATATTGTCCGTGGTAGTAGGCGTGATATGCCGAACCTATTTTCCTTTCTATTACTCCATCGTATTATAAGTTTTTTCCTATCCCTACTAGCTAAAAGAGAAATTGTGGGATAAAGGATGTCTATCTGATTTCTGTAGACCTTTCCCAACAATAAAATAAATCAACTTCCCAATAATTATTCCAGATAAAGTTAAAGTTTTATGAAAAATCAAATGGTTCCTGTACCCAAATGGAAGAAAAGAAACACCACATGAATGAAAAACTTCTCATCATGCTAATCTACCTAAGCATTGTTCAGTATAGTTATGCCACAGTATGGTCCCGTAGTGACCCCAAAAGGTGCACCCCCATTCCACCATTATTCTAACAACAGATTCCACCAAACTTATGAGTAATAGAGGATGACCAAGTTACACTCAACATCTTGTGCACCAGTTTAATGTGGACCATTAAATTAATGGATTTCATTGTGTATTGAATACTCAATGATTGTGATTGTAACACGTCAGTTAATAAAAACAAAGTGATACTTAAAGTTCATGTTAATTACAAACGAATCAAAGACTATAACCTGAAAGGATCAAGTGCATAGAACGGGCCACTTGTTAATTTTTTTAAAATGTTTTGGAAAAATATTACATATAGTTTGAGAATATTAATAACTCAGAATACTCTATGGGGGAGAAATGTGTGACAAATCTCCTGGGAATCCCGGCAGGTCCTGGAAAGTACTGTTTCCATGAAGATGCAATTATAACTCTTACCAAAAAAGAGAGAGATAAAATGAAAGCGACCAAACCATTGCTTTTGGCAATAGAGACACCACTGCCTACCTTTTGTTGCTGTCATACAACAAATTTAAAGGAAAAAAAACTACTTTTGCTGATCCTTCTTAGTCCAAATATAGCTGCTGATCAGCACACGTCTCCAACAATAAGAGTCAATTCATTATTAACCGAAGATTCTCTTCATTTCGCCTTTAATATGATACACCTCAGTAAGTAGTTTATCAAATCAACGTAGATTGTTTGATCAGTGGTCTTATTATTTTTTTTCTAATAGAATCATTGATCCAATCATTCTCATTTTTTAAATTTCATCATAAAAACCCGTATTGGATCACTATATAGTAAAACTCATATATGTGCATATGAATATAATTATACATAATTAAACTTGGAAGAATTGAGTAAGTTCTAACAAGGAAAAAAAATGCAAAAAAAGCTACTGAAAATAATGCTCAAGGAAAAAAAGAGAGAACCTCAAAAAGTGTTACCAATGGGTACAATAATACAATATGTGCCTAATTTATAGACCTAATACAATGCTATCATTAGATTCGCAGTGGACTCCATTAAATACCGAGACCACTATCAATCCAATAGGAGCAATATGCATAAAGTCCATAAATTCTATTCCAGTAGCATTTCTCGAAAACTTATATATAAGTCTATCTAGACAACATGTTGCAGATAAAATCAAAATAAGTTAAGTTCTCTTCACAACAAGTTAAGAAAAATGGATTCAAAGAAGCTTTATTTGGCTGTAATTCTCATACAGTCCATATATGCTGGCCTGTTCTTGCTCTCCAAGGCTGCATTTGATGTTGGTATGAACACTTTCATCTTCGTCTTCTACAGACAGGCTGCTGCAACTCTTTTCTTAGCTCCCCTCGCCATCTTCTTCGAATGGTATTGAACTTGCTGATTCTCTTATATCTTTCTCATCTACTTCACAACCATGATTGAATATCGATTATTGATTGTTTATTTTGGGGTTTCCAGGAAAACTGCACCACCGCTCTCATTCAGAACCTTCTGCAAGATTTTTATGCTCTCTCTTTGTGGGTATGTTTTACTATAATGTATCCAAGAAACTATATTTCATATGGTGGAAGGATTGAAAGTTCGTTTTGTTTCATCGAAACCAAAAAAAAAAAACACATTATGTTCTTGGTGAAAACTAAAATGATATTGAAAAATTGAAATTCCCATATTGTGGAATGTTATGAATTGTTTTGGGAAGTTTTAGAATGTTTCGGTAATCTTTCTAAATCAAAATTCAAAACTTTTCCTTTTTCTTCACTTTGTTTTTGAAATATTTTCGAAACATCTTCATTTCCAAGTTAACTAAAATTATGCTCTAAAATGAAACTTTGATCCTTGATGTAGAGCATCAAATTTTCTTGGCAGAGTTTGTTGACAAAGAACTTAATTAACTTTGTTCTTTAATTATGTAATATCAGGATCACTATGTCATTGAATATTTATGGAGTTGGTCTTATATATACATCTGCAACACTGGCTGCTGCAACTACAAACTGCCTTCCTGTCATTACTTTTTTCCTTGCAGTTTTGTTCAGGTAGAAATTCTATACAGTGTTAAATTTCCCCTTCTTGTTTTGGAAACTTTTGTTCCTCAGCATAATATGATTAGTATTTGTTAAGTAGGTCCAACTATGACATTCCCTACTTTCTTTGGGTATGATATAAAAATTACTAGAAAATAAAGTTGAAGTTACAGCTCAATCTCGTGAATTTATTACAAATGAAAATTCTATTTGAATCTAAAAAACTGATATAATTTGTTGATTTAATGACATGACTTCATTGAAACCATTGGATAAACGCCAAGTTTTAATGTTGAAGGAGTCCACAGTTAATTTAAACGTCATAGTGAATTAGGTTAATAAATAAAGTCCAATAATATTGCTCTATTACAAAATTGAGTTGTTTAGGAACAGTCATAACATCTTAGGGTCGTGCTATACGTTTTGATCCCATTAAAGAAAGCATTTAATGCATGAGAAAGACGTTAATATCAAATTTTAACGATGTGTCTTGACCCCCAAAGATGTCAAGTGCTCATCTAGTCAAGTGCCCAAAAGATGCTCATCGACTTTAACAGTTTATATCCCGAGACTCCATTATAGGCTGAACTGCAGTTTTGTGTACCGAGTACTACTCAGCATATGTTGCTGAGTGGTGTCATCCTTTGAAAATGAAGGACGGTCTCAATAAAAAGAATATATAATGATTGTTTTCCCTTTTAGAAGAAAATATAGTTTTCAAAATTATACGATTCGCGATTCGATTAGTACGATTTAATTCGATCCAGGTACAAAACGATTCCTATCTTATATAAGAATCGTTTTAGAGTTGAATCGTACGATTCAATTCGTATCTCAGGAATCGCACGATTTAATCATTTTTTTTAAAACTCAATTTTTTGGTAAAATGACGTCATTTTGTCTGCTAAACAGTAAAACAATGTCGTTTTGTTTGCAGAGGAACCCATGTTCTAATAAACACTCAATCTTTTTGCTCGTTCTTTTTCTGACTTTGTATAAAGCTCGCCTTATGTTGTCTAAAACTAAAAGTCACGGCTAACGCTATTGCATCGTCGGTTGATTTTTGATTTCGCATCATCTATTGTCTAAAGTTAAAGGTCACAGCTAACACTCTCAAATTATGATTTAACAACTATGGAAGAAATATTCAATGACTATGATAGTACTTCGATGTTTTTGGTTGAATAAGTAATCGACAAGTTGTTAGAAAATTATACTATTCCCCATAAGGTGATATTTTTTTATGGAAAAGTTGCTTTATGACCAAGCTACTATGGAGCCAATGAATATTATGTCGTCGATCACCTTCAACTAATGTTACTTTTCTAGTTTAAGAGCCACACACTTTAAACCCATCATGAATATGCACTACTTGGGTTGTTAATTTTATAGTCTGTATCTTATTTTTAAGTAGCTTAAGTCTCGTTTGTATCAAAATTTGTTTGACTCATACCAAATTCATCTATAATAATATTATATTGAGTTCGTGCTATATGCAAGTTATGTTTATTGGTGTTTGTCTCATACATTGCGAGATTTATGTCAATCCATTTATTTGACAAATGAGATAAATTCACTCATTTACCATCGGACCCAATAAATTCTAAACTCAAATGCACTAAATTCTTGTCAATTTGACATCGTGTTTATGGATCATATTCAGAATTGTAGGGTTTATGTACTACTATAGCAAGTCACTGCGAGTTGGGTAGTTAAGTTCTCCTCCCTCTTTGAATCTAAAACAGTAACCTCCACAGGGTTAGACAATATGCACATGCAATGTCTAGTCCTTAATGGAAAAAATGCTCCTCAAGAAAGAAAAATGTATACCCACATCTAGAAAGGGGAATAATATATCAATTGTTTCCTCTCAACATTAAGAGCCCTCCAATTTATCCAATTTCAGTCACCCATGGCCACTACTAATCAGGACTTAGGAATTCGGCATTAAGAGTTTTTTGGATGCCATAAAAATTGTAAATTCATGAGAGAGCATGCCTTCGTTCTCTTATGTTCATTTTGTAGGGCTCCTCCTATCCATGAACGTGGTTTGAGTCACAAAATTTCGCTTGTATATTTGTTTTTGTTTTCTTTCATGTTTGTCCGCTGAATAAGTTATCTTCATACGCATAGTCGAACTCTCGATCGAGCTTTCTCCTCCGAGGCTTCTGATCATACTTTCACCTATTTGTCTTAAACGAGTGCAATTTTTGTGTAAATACAGGTTGGAAATGGTGAAATTGAGGACAATTCCTGGGCTTGTTAAGATTGCAGGCATAATAATCTGCATGTTGGGAGCAGCCACCATTGCTTTCTATAGAGGTCCCTACTTGAAACTAATGCTGCATCATCACCTCTTTAGACACCACACCCAACAACATCAAGTTTTTGTTCCTTCTAGCAAAACTTGGGCAAAGGGTGTCTTCCTGATGCTCCTTTCCAATACCTGTTGGGGTTTGTGGCTTGTATTACAGGTAATGTCTTCATTTTTTTTTTTCTGATATGATGGTGATGTTCATTTAAGCTTCTTATATTTAGGCATGTTAATGGATCAGATTTTCATCCGAAATCTGTCTAGATCTGATGGGTTGGTTATGAATAAATATTCTTGACCAATAAATGAATTTGAATCTATTATATCCTATTTCAAGGATTTAGATACATGACCGACAAAAGATTATAAATCTAAGCCAAATTATATGTGTATAAATATATGATGAAATTAAGTGATTATTTAATGAATTGGGTTGAAGTGCACACAAAAATAAAGATGTGCACTTCCAATTTATTTTAGCATGCTATTGTGAGAAAATTAATCAATTTTGTTGTTGAAACAGGGTCGAGTTCTAAAAATCTATCCTTCGAAACTTCTCTTAACAACTCTGCAGTGCTTTTTAAGCACCATTCAGTCATTTATCATTGCCATTTCATTGGAAAGAGACCCTTATGAATGGAAGCTTGGCTGGAACGTTAGACTCCTCTCCGTAGCCTACTGTGTAAGCAAAAATCAAGCCTTCTGCAATTTCTTCTCTTCTTTTACCTACATAAAATTCCTTGATTAGTATGATATTCAAAAATGTTTTCCTTAACTAAACTGTTTATAATCACTTTCAATTGATATGCACATACAAATATTCATTAAACTACATAATCATTGATTAATGCAACGTAATAAAATGTTCCTGGCTTCCGGGGGAGTGAGGGGGTGCGAAGTTTAACCAAAGATACTCAATTAAGCTATTCATAATCACTTTTACTTGATGTGCTTAAGTATGACATGAAAATGAACAAGCTATGAATCATTGATAATAATACGGTGCAAAAAATGTGATTGCACGGAGGGATAGTTATATCTAAAAGAAATCAATTAAGTTGCTCATAACCATTTCTAATCGATAGCCTATATATGATATACAACTGAATGAGCTACTGAATCATGGATTCATGTGATATACAAGGTTGTTATGTCCCGAGGGAGATTTTTAACTAGGAATACTCAATTAAGCTGTTCATAGTCCCATTCAATTGATATCCATACTTATGATAGACCAATTGAATCATTGATTGATGCAATATATGACAATAGTTATTTTCCGTGTCTGAAGGTACGGAGTAATACAAAAAATGGTCAATAATAACTTATTTGTATTCACATCCAAAATTAAATTAAAAAAATAGAGGAAAGAAAAAAAAATTTAAACACTGGTTGTAATAAGAGCAAGCGAAAGTAGTGGTGGTGGGCAGCAATAGTTATGGTGGGAGACGGTGGTAATTATGATGGGTGATAATGATCAGTTGTGATGGTGGCAGCCGTGAGTAACAATGATAATGGTGGTGGTAGGGGTGATGGTGGTAGGGGCGGTGGTGGGACGGTGGTGGTTGTTGTTGTGGAAGAGGTGGTGGTAGGATGACAGCAGTGGTGGTGGTGGTGGTTGAGCTATGGGGGTGGTAATGGTGGTAGAGTGGCAGCAGTGGTGGTGGTGGGGCAATGGGGTTGCTGATAGTGGTGATGGTGGTAGTGGGGCGGTGGGTGTTTAAAGTAAAATTTAAAGAGATCTCAACTATAAAAAGTAAAAGTCATTTTGTTTATCTTTTGAGATTTGAATTATATTATATTTTATTATATAAATATTATAGTCTCAGGGCACAAATTTTAACTAAAGATACACAATTAAGATGTTCATAAATAGTTTGAATTGATATGCATACATATGTATGACATGAAGGTGGATGAACCCTGAATTGTCAAAAAAGTGTTTTCTTCATGTTAATAGAGTACTCAATCCAATGCAATTCTTGATAGGGAGTTGTGGTGACTGGTGTTACATTCTACTTACAAGCATGGGTGATTGAGAAGAAGGGACCGGTGTTCCTAGCCATGTCCATGCCCTTGACCTTGATTTTCACCATCATCTCTTCCGCTTTACTCTTGGGAGAAATAATTAGTTTAGGAAGGTATTTCACACCGCTTTTCCTACGAATTATCCAATTTTTGTTTGATTGCTATTTCGTTATGATTGTTTATTTCTTGTGGTTGTAGTGTTTTTGGAGGAATTTTGTTGGTGGGAGGGCTATATTGTGTACTGTGGGGCAAGAGTAAAGAACAGAAGATGGATGATGCTATTTGTTCAAGAATTGAGGCTGAGAAAGAATTTTCGGTGCCCAAAAAGTCAGTAGAAAGCCAGAATCCATTACCATTACCTGTGTGATATAAACTCTTGTGTTCAAACGATATTCTCATGTACCAAATAGGGATGTTAATCTCAAGTAGATGGGAATTGTATTGTTTTATTGAAGGAAGGAAGGGAGAATAACTAGCAAAAAAGGATAGAATTTAATTATTATTGGTGGACTAGAAAACAAAGGACACTAGAGAGATTTGCAACATAAGACTGTTCTTTTTCCATAGGAATGGTTATTACGTATTAACATTGCTAACGCCATGCTACAGTGGTGTTCAATATTCCACTTCAACCTTTCAGCCTAAAAACATTCCAATTGTTTTTTTTCAATTTGGTTCTAAAATTTGGTCAGCATAATATTTCTGTTGTTTTAAATTAAACTCATTTGATGATCAAAACTCACGTCACTTAAAAATTGAAGTACCTCTTAAAAATAGGATAAAAATTTAACTAACAAAGTCTCCTACTTATCACTAAATGTTAAATATGCTTGTGAATGAGGATTTTAGAAACCTTTGATGATGGACTAATTTAACCTCAAATATTTTGATCTCAATTCAACTTATACCCCTAACTTTCCAACACCAACAATCTCCATTGTTCCCACCACCATTGCCGCTATCTTGCCAGCAAAAACCACCCTCTCGTTGCCACTAAAATCACCACCTCCTCACGGCAACCGTCATCACCCCACAATCATAACTACTAACTTAGTCTCCTCCATTACTACCTTCATCATCTCTAGCTACCACTTCATCACTGTTACCAAACCCCCCCCCCCCCCCCCCCAACACACATCACAATTGTCGACTCACCACCACCACAACCACCACCTCATCCTCGCCACCATCATCTTCCATTACCACCTCATCACTTTTTTCACCCACCCATTCACCGCAGCCACTGTTACCACCCTCCCATCCCCTTGTCCCACCATTTCTACTACCCTATCCTAATTGATGTAAAACAAGTGACATCTGATTACTTGGAGTAGGAAGACCGCCGTGTGTCCAAGGCCCAAAGAAATGCAAAAAAGTGATAGTAGAGGCAAAATGACCTAGATCTAGAATTGATTGAGATCAGTGGTATTTGATCTGCATCTAGCCAATGATCATGACTCATCGCTTTACCATGAGCTTATTCAGTTTTGTTTGTTTTTATCTTTTTCTCTTCTTAAATCACAATCATCTCTTACTACAACATCACTCTCTTTCAGAGTACCATATTTTGCAGAATCTTTTTCTAGACCATCTTTTACTTTTTCATGATGGTGCATCGCTTAATTAATAGCAGCCTCAAAAAGAAATTCAAATGGCTCCTTGTCCTTACCATCATGCCCAATTGCATCCTTGATGTCATCATCTTCTTCAAATAGTGTGTCCTGACTTGTATCCTCATCCCCTATCGTCATATCCTTCTTCATGCTCCTCTACTTGTGTTTCTTTTCCTTTAACACTTTTGATCTTTCTAACCACTTTGGAATGGTCCTCCTCTCGTTCTTTACTTCCTTTATACCTGATAAATGTCTTCTCTTCATTTGTTCTTTTCAATCTATTCTTCAATACCTTTGAAAAATAAAAAAAAAATATCCGATTTGTGCACCCAAAATGTATCTATAAAGTATGCATTACAAATAAGGAAGTAACAAAGTGTTAATGATGATTTTGGTTTTGAAAGTTTGTCATCACAGTTGCTATTGAATACTATGTAACGGAGCAGTGTAGTAATACAGTGTTAGTAGTGAGTGTTGAATCACAGTACTAAAACACAACAATTATATTTTCATTAACATTGCAATATTAACCAAAAATCATGACAGCATTAATACTTACATGTTTTGACTTCAACTTTCGCAACTCATTCTACTTCATAGCTCTCTATAGACTCAGTAAATTTCATTTCACAATCCTTCGTTTTCCCTTTGGCTTCTCAGTTTGGATAATTGTTGTGTGTTCACGAACCCAAAACTACACACACATACAATTTCATTATAAGCAAAATCATTACTTTCATTTATTAAACTAAGGAAAAAAATGGGAAATGTTATGTGGCTATTAAAAAAATACCAATAACAATAGTACACATCCAATAACCCTTGATGGTGTGCCACTCTGTTTCTTAAGTGAAGAGATTAGTGCTTTATGGCTAACACTTGACCAATCATACTTCTTCATTGCATCCAAATTCTTAATGTACGAAATATAGCCCCATCCTATAGAGGTCCCAATGTGTGTGAGAACGAGAGTAACTAGTAGAAATAGACATAGTAGTCAAGTAATATTGTCAACATAATTTTGGGTTGTTTCATTTGCTGCTTCAATCAATTTACTCTTTATAAATATCGAGGTCAATTTGCTATCCTTCTTGAATATTCGTTTAAAGAATTTTGTGTTTTCCTTCCCATGAATTGATGCATCCACTAGCTCCCAACTATCTTCAATCCCAAATATTATTTTCACATTGCTTCTTCACAATTTAATTTTCTCCCCTCCAATATGAAACTTAGAGGTCTTAACATCGAAACACAATATCACATCAAGAAGGTTATTGTCACTCTTTCTACACTATGTTTTGTCTAATTTTTTTTTATTAATAATAATTTCAAAAAGTAACCAGAATGGGGATTTTCTCAAGACAACCATGTGTGCTTCACTTATCCTAATGTCATTAATTTCTCTAATAATGGCAAGCAAAGTTGGATTTGTATTTAGGCTCATGCTTCACTTCAACCATTTTTTTTTTGGTGTCATTTTTGCAATCATCTTTAATAGATGATGGCCCTAAGCTTTGGTCAAACATTTTTTCTCTACGCCGAAATTCATATTTATCTGTAGTCCCCTTTCTTTTTCTCCCCATGACTAAGCAAAGTTACACAGATTAAAACTAGATGCTACAAAAAATTACAATATACATGGATCAGGTTTATTATCATAGTACACAAAATACGTTTTATAGCAAACTATAAACCACACATATAATAATTTAGAGGTGCAGGTAGTGTACTATCAAAGTGTAACAATACAATTAATCATTACAGTGTAATAGTATACTTACACAAAACACTGTAATGTGACAGTTTCGCAAACATAGATTTGCATATGAATTCATTGAAACAGTCCAGTTCTGTTTTAATTTATTACCACATGCGCACAAAAAATTCCTGAATACCAAAACACAACCACTAAATGTGAAGCAACACTGCCTTAATTCATTGGAAACATATTTTCAACCAATTGAAAAATCATCAATTGTCTAGGGAAAAAACACCAGCAAGAAAAAATGAAATAAGATATAACCATCTAGGGTTTACAAATTCAATAATTTTAGGGAATTTGACTAAAATCAAAAGTGTACAAGAAAAAAGGCATAAAAAAACCTGATTTGCACAAGCCATTAAAAAAAATATACCAAATCAAAATCAATTTTTGGATTCAAAGTATAACCAATGACCTTAGGAGAACTAGCGACATAAAATCACCACCAAACAAGATCAACACTCACTGTATTATACGCAGGAACACGATCAACTCTCAACAACTATTTCTATTCTACAACTGGCAACGATCGAATAAATCCCCAAATGTCAAAGAACTTAAGATAGAAGAAATCTTGTTCAGCAATTGAGATCAAAATGGCACACTAGTAGGTTTTTTGTTTCAATTTTGAAACCCTATTTTGAGAGGAAGAATGATGGCTTAATCACGTGTAGAATGAGGAAGATGATGTGGTTTATCTTTTGTGTTCCGAAGATGAAGCATTTTGCATTTGAGTGTTCCAAAAAAAAAAAAAACAGTTAAACATAACCACTGTGCAACTAATTAAATTGAAGATATTTTCCTAAATAGATTTTGGGAAAATAAATTGTGAAAAATGGACAGTTAAATCTTTATATCTCACAATTGTACTATTTTACAATATATTTTTTACTGTGTACTTTTTCACAGTTAAGTCTAATTTGGTGTGTTGACGTCCAAAGGACCTAAAAAAAAAACTGAGGATTTCAGCCCCAAATTAGAGCAATTGCCTCATATCCTTAGCTAGATCCATCTATTTGCAGATATGGCTGGTCCAATCTCTAGGCGAGCGAGGCGCTTGCTTAAAACCTGCATTTGCCTAGGGGCCAACTCTTCTTTGTACCACAAAAGCTTACAACTAAATCTTGAAAAAAAAATTAACAAATTAGAAATATTCATTTGTAAATGTTATATATAATTAAATTAATAAAAAAATGTAATATATAATTATTCTATATTCTACGATGAGAGAATCCTTTTTGCTAAATGCCTTTGAAGAAACAGGATTTTCAATTATGCCATCGTGGTGCTATTGTACGTTGTCAAGAAATAATTGTTTATATTTTATTATCTATACTACTTTAAAATGTTAACATACTTGAAAAATATTTATTTTTCTTGTTCACCCCCAAACAATAGTATTAGAACATTTTTACCATGTATTGAAAGGCGATAAGAACACATGATCTTCAATAATAACATTTAGAACACATAATGATATTATTAAATTAAACTTTTCATATTCTCCATGCAATCATAATGGTGATGAGAACTTTTGGACTTTTACATTAATAGGTTGTCTTACTAATTGGTTCTAATATTCAGATATATATAAATATATACATCTTTTGACTTTTGGTTATCTTGTTCTAAAATCTGTACTATATCTATATTTTTATCTCTCTATCTATCAATGCATTAAAATAATTCAATTGTGACTATTACAAAGTTACTCTTCAAGTGGACTCTTGGATACTACTAGGACATTTTTATCATATATTAAAAGGTGATAAGAATATGTGATTTTCAATAATAACCTCTAAATCACATAATTACATCAGTAAATTGAAATTTTCATATTCTCCATTCAATCACAATGGTGATGAGAACTTTTGGACTTCTACATTGATAGGTTGTCTTGCGGATTGGCTCTAATGTTTATATATATATGTATTCATTAATTTACATATATTTATTGAAGGAATAAATTCATCTTTTGACTTCTGGTTATCTTGTTCTAAAATCTATACTATCTCTATATCTCTTTATCTATCTATATCTATTTTACTCTTTTTTTTCAGTTAACAAATGCATTAAAATAATT